GCCGGGACTGCGCCGGTGGTGGGGCCGGGGCCTAAGAGCAACAGCCTTCTTCTCCAAGAGAGAGGGGGCGGAGGCCGAGTTTCCCCCAAGGGAAGAGAAAGCTGCTGTGGAGTTAGTTACAATGGAAGTATGAGTTCTGTAGGGGAATAGAGAACCGGAAGGCCGAGGGTGAGTTTTCCTGAGTCTTCCTCCAGCCTGACCCTTACTAGAAAGATATATATGTATTCGTTCGCATAAATACTTTCATAACCTAATGTCTCCGTATATCCTTAACAGAAATAGCAGGAAAGCTATTTTGTTCCAGGTAAAAGAAAACTTGAAGCTAGGAAGCTAGCTATGTAGGTCAAGGGAGAAAAACGTGGGTCTCAACCTGCTGAGAGACCGAATAAACAAGACAATGGCCAGACCACTTGCGACAACAGAACCCCGACCCACAACCTCTTGTAGCAACCAGCCAGGGAAGCCAAACCACATCCCCAGCAGTGATCGGCCCGGAATGGGGAGAAATCGGTCATTGACTGCCAACTTCCCTAATTTTTGCCCCTGCTTCCAACTCCGAACCAATCAGAGAAAGCCAAATATGTTCCCCAAACCAATCACACAAGATGCCCGGCTTCTAGTTAGCCCGCCTCCAGCTTCCCCGTGCCAACACCCTCCAATCAGAGCATACCTGAAGCTGTCCCTTTTTCTCGCTGCTGGCCTAAGCGTCCCCAGCGAACTCAGGGAAGGTGGCTGGCTTCCTTGCTATAGCTATCTCTGTTTTCATTTGTTGTTGTTGTTTTTGTTTATTTCCACACAGCCAATGGAAAAGTAGTAGAGAAGTGTGAAAAGTCTTTTCTTGAGATTAAAAAGGAAGATTCTTTTTACAATTTTTAAAATTTGTAGCTGCCACCCAGGTTTTAAAACACCCACTCTTATAAGAGAATAACCATACACCTTTTGCCCATCCTAGAGAGAGAGAGAGACAAGTGGTTCCTTAAATCTGGTAAAATGCGAGGCCTTGTTTGCGTCAC